AATCAAATTATCCTATAACCCTCTCCCTTTTAAAGAGTCTAGTATACCCTCATTGTTCCTGTAAAGCTTATTATGTCATTTACATTTTTCTTCTGAAAAATGTCATTCTTTGTTCCCAACCAGCACAAAGCACTCTGAAAGTCAGGAGCAGTGTAGCTTCCCACAGCAAGCTGACTAACGGTGTTTAAGGGCAGATTTAATTGGGAAAAAAAGAACTGTCTTTTCAGTAATGATACAAGTTAGCATGGCAGAGCTGAGAGATGAGGAGCAACTTTGCAGAATAAAGGATTTAACTGTTCAAGTTGGGTTTTTAAAATATTTTTGACCTAATGTTGGACATTCCGTTCTTTAATTATCTTAGGCTTTTCTCAGGAATAAACTAAAAGTTGTGATTTTTTTGTGTGTCAAATGTCAAATTTGAAGGTTTTTTAATAGAAAAACCACAACTTAAAAGAAAGTTCCCAGTTGTGCTTATTGAGTAATTGTGGTCATTTTCACATAGTTCTTACGTCAGATTCTGAGGTTGGAACTCTAATAACCTAATAATTATTTTAGAATAGAAAGCGACGACCAGCTGCCAATATAAACTGTCATTTTCCTTTCATGTAGTACATTTTAACTTTTTTGAAAGTGGAATATTATCTGGTTACTTTTCAACTTTTTAAATTGATTTTAATAGATAATAGTAATTTCTAGACATAAATGTTTTCTGTGATTAACCTTAGATCATGTTTTACATCTGTAAACTATGAAAAATTTTTAAAGTCCTACCTTTTTGAAAAGTAAATATAATTTCAATTCTATTTTAACAATATTGATAATATACGGCAGACTTAATAGTCTTTTCACCATGTGAAATCTGGAGAAAGGATCAGGTCTAATTATGTTATCCTGGCCTCTTTGAAACTTTCTTCAGCTAGATTTCCACAATACATACTAATTGCCCTCAATCGCCTGCTACTCATCTGGATTTTTATCAGCTTCCTTGGCCTCCACCTCCTCCTGTGACTGGTTTGAAGTGTGGGCATCACCCAAAGGGCAGATTTTAGAACCTCTTCTCATTTTACTTACTTCTTTAAGGAAGTTTCCCCATCTGCACCTCTGTCCGAGAGCACTCTTCACTGTTCAGACCCATCTTTGCAACGTGATGTGCTAAACAGGTATCTCAGTTGGCTCAGACTGTTGTAAAAAGATACCATAGACCGGGTGGCCCGTAAACACACAAATTCATTTCCCAGAATTCTGAAGCTGGGACATCGAACGAAGGCACTGGCAGATTCGGTGTCTGGTGAGTTACTGCCTGATTCCTGGTTCGCAAACAGCCATCTTTTTGCTGCATCCTCATGTGGTAGAAGGGCCAAGGGACTTCTCTCAGGGCTCTTTTGTGAGGACACAAATCTCATTCGCAAGGGCTTCGCCTCCCAAAGGTCCCACCTCCTGATAACCTTGAGGGTTAGGATTTCAACAGATAAATCTGGGGGAGACACGAACATTCATACTATAGCAGTAGGTCCTCCTCGAAGTCCTACCAGCACCTTAAACCCATCACGTCAAAACCCACACTGCCCCCCCTGTTTCTGACTTGCTCTTGTCTCGCCATTCTCTGGCCGCTCAGCGTCAAGGCTCTGTACGACCTTGGGTCCCTCTTTTCCCTGACCCCCTGGACCGGGATCTACCGGTTCTACCACATCTGTCCCATTCTCCATGTCCACTGCCCTCTTTCAAGGCCTCGTTCTATTTGTGGCCTTCACTTTTGCAGAAGCCTCATTCTTCACCCCTTGATTTCACTGGGCAGAATTATTTCGTCAAAATTCAAGGGAAAAACACAACCGGGCATGAAACAGGGCCAACTGCTTATGTGGAATGAGGAAGAAATTTAGCTTCTGGCCTTGGCATTTGGCAGGTAACAAGTGAGTATGGTGAAAACTGACTCGGGAGAGTAGTGAGGGCAGGACTGGTTGTAACGGGGTGCCGAGAGGAGGGGGAGGACGTGGGACCCTGAGCGTGGCACTCTCCGGGGCCCGCTGTGAAGGGGACGAGGGAGACAACCAGGAGGGAGAGAATAATTTTTTATTTAAGACAAGGGAGATGTGTGTCTTCTTTTTTTTTTCTGCAAAATGAAATTAATAACAAAAATTAAAGGAATATTTTTCTTTATTGTAACAGAAGCCAGATAATATATTATGGCCAATAATAATATTATATTATTATAATATGTGTGTATATATTCAGAGATAGATATAGGTATTTGGAAGATATATTTATATATTCTGTATTTCAAGACACATAATAACCTTTGAAATGTGCCATATTAAGGACCATCATAAGCCCTGATGATTAAATGTCCTCAGGGAGTAGAGTTCCAATCAATGTTTATGAGTTCCTTCCACAAACACGAATTCGGTGTCACCTGTGTGCCGGGCACTGAGCTGCTTGGCACTGGGCTTGCAGAGATAAAGAGGGAGAGCCTCGACTGCAGTTGCTCTCAATCTCTCACAGACACTAGATGGATGAAAGCCCAGAGGAGTCCATACTCAGCTCTTGGCGGAGGTTGCGGAGAGAACACCACCGAGCAGGGTAGGTGGGGCAGGCGCTTCCAGGCAAAGAAAAGAGAAAATAAGTACAGAGTGACAAAGAGGCAGCATGGAGTAGCACAACATGTTGAATTTAAAGCAAGAAAAACGTGTTAAAATTCCAGTCTGGCACCTTGCTACTGGCCACGTGGACTTGAGCAGCCTAACCACACTGAGCCTCACTTATGTCCTCTCTAACGTGGATGAAATAATCCTGCTACACAAGATTGTTGTGAGGGTTAAAAATAAAATCCACTCAGTGGATGATAGCTCCTGTGTTGTTACGGCTAGTAACGGTGACATCAGCATGACGCGCCAGGGCTTGCTGCGGCTCAGCATGGTGGCGCACATGCCAGCGGGTGAAGGGCCTGGTATGCTGTGCCCAGGAGTTTGAGCTGTCTCAGGGATGCCGGAGTGTTGTTTAAGCATTTCAGTGGGGGAATAACATAATCAGATGTAGGTTTAAGAAGATCGCTCTGACAGCAGTAGATGGATTAGAGAGCACGTAAGAGTAGGGGCGGAAAAGCATGGATGAATGTTCTTCCCAGTGCAGTAATGGTTACTTTCCCCGATTATGCCATAGGAGGAGCTGATAAGATCCTATTTATTGCTAGATATCAAAAGAAAAAAATGCTATTTGGTCAGCAAGCATAGGAATAATTGCATTTATCTTTTAGGAAATAACAGAATAACAGAATTATAGACAAGTAAAAGAATTGAGATATTTCCAGGCTCACCTTAAGACCTGGTTGAACTGTGAATTTATCAAGAAGATCCTAGATCATTTAAGCTCATTCTCAAGCCATTTCACTTTTTAAACTACTTCTTAGCCTGGGGTCCATCCACAGATGTGCTTCAGGCAGTCTCTGAACTCCCTAAAATCAGAGGAAAAATCATAAGCATGTGTTTCTTTTTCCATCTAGGGAGTAACTACATAGCTTTCTTCAGATGCTCAAAGGGGTCTAGAACCACCCAAAAGGTTAAGAACCACTATGTCTACACAGAAAGAAGACTGGCATTGCATTGGAAGAATTTGTGGTGGACTCTAGCTTAGACATTTGGTCTGAGCGCCAGAGTCTCCAGTTGGATGTATAATGGGCACTTTGAGCTTGACCCATCCCAGGCTGAGCCCCAGCTCTTCTCCCCAGCACCTGCCCCTCCCTCACCCTTCCCATCAGTGTGAATGCCACTGCAGTCTTCTGGCTGCCCAGGCCAAAGTCCCTGGGGTCCTCTTTTTTTCTTACTCTCTGCTCCCACTCCCTCAGGGCTGTCACCTCTGTCTCAGAATATATCTGGGACCTGGCCCTGCAATTCTTTTTTTTTTTTAAGACACAGAGTCTCACTCTGTCACTCAGGCTGGAGTGCAGCGGCACAGTTGTAGCTCACTGCAGCCTGGGAATCCTGGGCTCAGGCAATCCTCCCGCCTCAGCCTTCTGAGAAGCTGGGACTACAAGTGTGCGCCACCATGCCTGACTAATTTATTTCTTATTTTTTATTTTTGTAGAGATGGGGTTTTGCCATGTTGCCCAGGCTGGTCTCAAACTCCTGGGCTCAAACAATTCTTCTGCTTCAGCCTCCCAAAGTGCTGGGATTACAGGAGTGAGCCACTACGCCTGGCCTGTAATTCATGACATAGCTCACTGATACTGACTGGATGAATTATAGTTTGAGAATCTATCTGGCATCTTGGCTGTTACCACCCGATGAATTGCGCTCACTGTAACTTTCCATGTACTATATCTATCATTGCACTTAATTGAATGGATCCTGTTTCTTTTCTAGTTCACCTCTTTACTTAAAATAGTAATTGATGCAGTGATGATTATTAATCTTTGTGGTTTCTAAATGTTCCATATTAACCTGAATTCTAGTTCCAAAAGCTACTTGGCAACTGAAAGAGTTCATCTCCATCTGCTCCTTAAAGGTTCCTCAAATTCCACACCAGCCTGGCTGACTTAGTAAAGAGATTCCTTTAAGCTTACTATAATTTACTCAAATTATCATATATAATTTTGAAAAATGTTATTTTGGTCAGACAACACAATTCTTGTCTGCCACAGTGCTATTCAGAGTATAAATGTACCTTGCAGGTGTACTGATAGAGCTATTTTAATGAGCAATAGCTTCATGCTTTATTACGTGTTTGTGGTTCTATGCGGGGAATGTGAGAGCCATTTTTATAATATGATTGGCATCTACTAATTTGTCTGTTTTATAAGTTTGGAATTTTTGTACTAGATATCTTTAAAGCAGAAAACATCTGAGCCTGACACACAAAAGTCTGATTTCATTTGCCTGAATGCTTTGGAACACCAGTAATAACAAACTAGAGATCTGAGGCCTTTTTAATGTCAGCTCATGTGGTAAAACTATTTTTTCAAGTATGCTTATTTTTAATGTTGATGCATTTATTTTACACTCTTTCAGGTTTTACAAGATGAACTTGAAAACCGTTGTAATCAGGTGCGATGTGCAGAGAAAAAATTACAGCACAAAGAATTGGAGGCACAAGAACAGGTACCCTCTCCTTTTCTATTTGGCTTGCTCATTTGCTTTCTCAAGGTCAAGGAGCTTATGCTTTACCTGTTTCAGCTTGATGCTTTGGCTGCAAGTAACAGAATACTCCAGTCATTGTTGGCATAAACAGGGCTCGAAGTCTGTAGGTAGGGCAGGCTCTGGCTCTACATCTCTGGCATTCTCGTGGCTCCACTTCCCGTGCGCTTCATTCTAAAAGCAATTCCGAAGTGGCTATAGCAGTGCCAGGCATCCCACCCAGATCTGTACTATCCAGAGGCAGAAAGGGACTGTCAATTTCTAGATCTCCTTCTAATGAGCAAGGAAATCTTTCCTAGAACCACACCAGTCCCTTCACATCTCATAGGCCAGAGCAGGTCACATGCTCAGCCTGGCATGCCCAATGCCTGGCAAGAGGGCTGAGAGTACCAAAATTAGCCTAGACCAATCAGCATCCACCTGCTGGTGATAGAATTAGGAGAGGAAGGAAACCTGGAACAAAAGAGAAGGGAAATAGATGTTGAGTATGTAGCCAACAGTGATTGCTATGTCATTGTTTTAAAATAAATGGATATTATTTTATTTAGGGACATAAATCATGTTTTCTTTTAAATTTTAGTTGTCTCTTATTTCTTTCTATTCAGTTTAAAATAAATGGCATGGAAACCCGAATAATCTGGCTATGACAATAGCTAATCACCTCTTTTATTTTTAAGTGACAGGATTGTTTTCACCCAACTCTTCTGGTTATAATAAACTATACTTAGTAGTAATTTTGACAATTTAAAGTAAAAAGTCAATATGTATGAATAGAGAACATGAGTTTTAATGAAACCTTTTATAAATGCATTGTCCTCAGCCATCGAGTATAGAATTACTAATATTGTTCTAAGTGCCACCAACCCATCATGTACAGAACCTGACATAGGTATTGACAGACATACTTTGATTATCTCATAGTAAAACTCAGTACAGGAATTTTGCTATGAGAAGGGAAGCTTTTTTTTAAATCTCTGGAGATGTTTACAAACAGGATCCCATGGTAAAGGATTATACAAAATGGCAGAAGTAACACCTAATAGATGCTGAGTATTAGTAACTTACTGAATTGACTTGACCTCCTATAACTCCTTCCTACTCTCTAATAAATACCCTGTATAATATATATATCATATATATGTACATCATGTATACATGATATGCATAAATACACATATACACATATGTATCACACAGCGTATATGTCATGTAGTCAATAATAGGATAACAAAATGAAATAATCCTAGAATAAAAAAATGAATAACTACACTTTGCCACGTGCTTACAGGGTGAAAGACACTATACAAGAAACGTTACACATATTGGTTCATTTAATCCTCACAATTGCCATGTAAGGTCAGTATTATCATCTACATTTTATAGATGACTCACTAAAATCCAGAGTGGTTAAGTAACTCATCCAAGATCATACAGCTAATAAATAGTAGAGGTGTATTCAGGCCCAGATTTAGTCGAATTTCAAACCTTTGCTCCTTTCATGACAACTTTTAAGTTAAATTTCCAGTTAATAAAAAACTGGATAGCAATGATAGGGGAAATAAACTTATTGAAGATGGCAGAAAAACAAACATACTGTCCCAGATACCTGGTACAGGCGCAAATGCCATCGATCTTCCATGGGCAGAGAAGAGCAAAAAGCAAAGGAAACAAAAACAGTAGATTTGGCCACAGATGAAGATGCCTCCTCAGATGGGCACGTGGGATTGTTCAAGTCCAATCAGCATAGGTCCAATTGTCACTGGAGGTCAGCTGAGCTCCCTGCTCTGTCAAGGATGCATGAATAGAGAACATGAGTTTTAATGAAACCTTTTATAAATGCATTGTCCTCAGCCATCGAGTATAGAATTGTTAATATTGTTCTAAGTGCCACCAACCCATCATGTACAGAACCTGACATAGGTATTGACAGACATACTTTGATTATCTCATAGTAAAACTCAGTACAGGAATTTTGCTATGAGAAGGGAAGCTACTAAAAGGAGAAAAGACAAGCTTCTTAAAAGCAGGAAACGCTGCTCCCTGGAGGATTGAGGCTTCTCCAGTTTGTGGTAAAATATGACTTAAGGTAAAACTTTGTTGACATCACTTTAATTCATGGCAAAACTTCACACAGAAAATTCCATAATATATTGAGAGTAGGGAAATTAAGAAATCCCAAATGAACAACAGAGAAGGATTCAGGAACTACTCTCAGTCTTTTTTTATTGACTCCTTTTTGATCATCAAAGTTACTTTCATCTTTGTAGTGACAATAGCTTTTTAGAATATTTCTTACACTAATTCCTGATATCTTCTATTAGGCTACAGTTTACCAAAGAAATGTCAGGAAATACCCATGGGTAAAGCTGAATATTTCATAATCTTTGCAACCATGAGATGTTGGGTTCTTTCCACAAGGTCCTAGGGTGTAGCTTGAGAGGAAAAAATGCCAGTTGTTTCAACAAAACTGAACAACAAATGATAGGCATTTAATAAATACTATTCGACTATATTTTATTTAATTTAATTTTTTATCTAAATTTGACCTGTGTCCCCCTTTAAATTTATGACACTATTAGAAGTAGTTAAAAAGTAACTGGAACTATTGTGATGAACATTTTTTAGGATTCACTTACATATGAGTCTACTGAGGACTCATAATGGAGGACTAAATGAGGACTAAAATGTTGAAATTGTTATATTATGATGTTCTTTTTTGTCATCCATCGAAGCAACTGCAATAACGGTAGCTAGCGTCACATCAGCCAATCGAACAACTGAAATGTGTGTAAAACAGCTACTTAGGACTTTCTTTTTTTTCTTTTCAACCAAATATTATTATCCTGATACTAGTTACATAAAGAATCAAAATTGAAACTGGCAGGATTACAAAGGACAATTTCCTAGGCTGCTTTTTTTAACTTGCTTGCTTAAAAAGAATTTAAACTGTTTCTGTTTTTCATTTAAGAAAAATTTCTGTGTTTTGATTGTGTAAAAACAAAAAATGAATGAGGCACTTTAAAAGTTGTGTTTTTAATTAAAAACAAAAAGCTGCTTCTCATCAGGTCTTGATGGGTGGTGTCCTTGCTGCCTACCACTAGCCATGGTGCCATCAGCTCTGTCCTCTGTCTCCTCACGTTGGCAGATCTGCAAACGGAGGCCCCAGAGAAGACATGTTCATCAATGGGTACAAAGGGTTAATTTGTTCCTTATGCAGATTCAAGAGAAAGAACACAAATAGAATTAGAAAATACTTATTTTTTATCTGTCACTCTTACAAAAGCATGATCTTTCCTTTAATCCATAAGTAGTGAAATATTAGAAATCATTATTTGTTTTATCCAGACGAGGAGTTAATAATTTCCAATTCCAGATAAGATCTGAGCAAGAACCCCATAATTTTGGCAAAGGAGGGGAGATCAGAGCTCTGATCAAACTTCCTCATTGTACAAGGAAACTGAGTCATCAGGAAAAGATGTGACTTCCCTAGTGTACAACACAGTAGTGGCAGACCCAGGGTAGGACAGTATGTGGTCTACTCACTCCTGGGGTTTTATTTTCCATTGTTTAAACACTATATAAAATGGATGTGTCCTATCTGTCACTCGGGTTCAGATATAGATTAAAATATTATGGGTAAAACTAAAATTCACTTTTGGGAGCAGACAATGTTTCATTATTCACAATGAGACTAGATAATTTGGTCTGACAGATTATAGAAAAGAAAACAAGAAAAGAAATAACCTAACAGTTTACTTGGTCTTCTTAACACGGTGTAAAGTATTTATCATAAAGGCATTAAACAATGTCAGGTTCTAACAGACTGTAATGTGGATATTAATATACATGTAACAAAACCCCTGCTGGGGTTTTGTTACGGACTGGCTATCTTAACCTTTGAAAGTATGAATAGCTTTAATTGCATTGGTCACTCAGCTTCCTAGAAGATTATTTTACATAAATTAGTGAGAAGAAAACAAGACTGCAGAGCTCTCCTAATAAATAAAACACAATGCTGAGCATGCACAGGAGAGTCAGTCTTTTTTTATTCAACATTTTATTCTTTTGACAAGCATATTATACTGGACAGTTCTAGGTTTGAAAAGAAACAAAGATGAGTAAATTATAGGTCCTGCCCTGAAGGAGTTTATAGTCTAGTAGAGGAGATACGTGTAAAATGTAGACTCCAGGCATGGAATGAAAGTCGATTCTTGTTCTGAATGGTTTGGGGACTCAGAATCACAAGACGTGGAAAGAACACAAGCATTGGTCCTGCCTTCCATCTTCCCTGACCCTGTGGGGAAGAAAGGGGGGGAGGGTCTTTAGCCAGGAAAAGGTTAGGGTCCCACTAGCTAGGCAGGGTTTGGCACTCGCTGACTTGGGGTTGTTTCTGGAGCCTGCAGCCCTCGAGGGAACTGGGTCCTTCTGAGGCCAAAGAGAGTCAGTGCTTCTGCCAGGCTTCTCTTGAAAGTACCCAGCTCCCACCTTGCCTTGCTGCTTTTGGCTGCCCCTAGGGGACCTCTCTGGGTTTGTGGCCAACATTTTTTGTAGCCAGATGGTTTAGTTCTGAGTCTTAGGTGGTGTGTCCAAGCATTAAAGGTCTGGACTGTACAGACACAAGTAACCCACAAATTGTTTTAAAATATATAGCTAAAAGCCAGTCACACTTTAACATTTCAGTCACAGTTTTGCAGCAACAAATTTCATATTTAAGACTTAGACCTATCAGTTAGTTTAGGGGAGAATCTAGTGACCAAAGACAAGTCTCAGTGGTAATTGTCTGTGTTTAGGGGTTGCGGGGAGCAGAGGTTGTCCCAGAGACCCCTCAAAGACACAGGGAGAGGAAACAGGAGAGGCTTTAAAGACTATTATGCTGCAGTGGGAAAAGCACTCGCTGGTTCTAAATCCACCTTTGTCACTACTAATCATGTGATCATGGGGAAGTCACTTAACCTCTCTGGATA